GCAGAAAACCTCATGGGCAGGAAGTGAAACCACCCAAACCCTACCCTGAGGGGAGAGGAGGAGCCGGTTTTGCTGCAGTGGCCTATCTGAGCCCTGAGAGAAAGGCTGGGAGAGGGGAGGGCTCTGGCCAGGGGTCAGGCAGAGGGATGGGAGTCAGGAGTGATACAGGGTCCCAGCTGCAAATCGATGGCTAACTAGCATTTACTGGTTGTTCCACTTCCTCGGGCTCATCTAAATGGCCAGGCTTGCGGCTCAGACGCTGGGCTGTGACTCAGAAAAGCTGGGTTCAGTTCCGAACTCTGCTACAGACTGTCTGGGAGAGTCACTGCATCTCTCTGGGCCTCAGTTTCCCCATTTGTAAAATGGGGATAATAATCCTGCCTTTGTCTATTTAGACTATGAGCTCTTCAGAGCAGGGACGGTCTTTCGCTGTGGGTCTGTGCAGCTCCTTAGTGGAATGGGGGCCCTGATCTCGGTCAGGGTCTATGCAGCCCCCGCCACAATGCGGGACCCTGATCTTGGTTAGGGTCTGTGTGGTGTCTGGTACAATAGGGCTTGATTTCAGACTGGGTCTGTGCACAATGGGGGCCCAGATCTTAGTCAGGATCTGTGCACCACCCAGCACAATTCATAGATTCTAAGGCCAAAAGAGGCCGTTGGGATCATCTGTTGTGAACTCCCGCTTAACACAGGCCAAAGAACTTTCCTAAAATAATTCCTAGAGCGGATCTTTTAGACAAAAACATCCCATCGATTTTAAAATTGCCAGTGATGGAGAATCCACCACGACCCTTGGTAAAATCTTCCAGTTAATTACCCTCCCTGTAAAAACGGACGTCTTATTTCCAGTCTGCATTTGTCTAGCTTCAACTTGCAGTCATGGGATTGTCTTATACATTTGTCCGCTCCATTGAAAAACCCATTATCAAATATTTGTTCCCCCTGCAGGTGCTTAACGACTGTAATCAAGTCACCCCCTTAACCTTCTCTTTGTTAAACTAAATAGACTGAGCTCCTTGAATCTATCACCATAAAGCCTGTTTTCTAATCCTTTAATCATTCTTGTGGCTCTTTTCTGAACCCTCTCTCCAATGTATCAACATCCTTCTTGAATTGTGGACACAAGAATGGAACACACCGTGCTCCGGCAGTGGTCACACCAGTGCCAAATATAGAAGTAAAATAATCACTCTACTCCTACTCAAGATACCGCTGCGTATGCATCCGCTTATGCACATAATCATAGACGATTAGGGTGGGAAGAGACCTCAGGAGGTCATCTAGTCCAACGCCCTGCTCAAAGCAGGACCAACCCCAACTAAATGATGTCTGATCCCTTTCGCCACCGCATCACATGGGGAGCTCATGGTCAGCTGATTATCTGCCATGACCCCCACGTCTTCAGAGGCATTGCTTCCCAGGGTAAAGTTGTAAACATCATCTACATTCTTTGTTTCTATACATTCACATTTAGCCAGGGGGGTGTTGTGTGTTGTCTGCAAACTTTATCAATGACGATTTTCTGTTTTCTTCCAGGCCATTGATAAAAATGTTAAATAGTGGGGGGCCATGAACCGATCCCTGTGGTGGAAACCCGCTAGAAATACACCCACTTGATGATGATTTTATAGTTACATTTTCAGACCCATCATTTAGCCAGCTTTTGGTCCCTCTCATGTGCGTCAGGTTCATTTTACATCGTTCTAGGTTTTACTCAACATGTCATGCAGTACC